GTCCCACGGCTTCGAGGTGGTGGGCGGCTACCCCTGGCCCAGCGGCAACACCTACCAGGGCTACTGGGCGCAGGGCAAGCGCCACGGGCTGGGCGTGGAGACCAAGGGCAGGTGGATGTACCGGGGCGAATGGTCCCACGGCTTCAAGGGGCGCTACGGGGTGCGGCAGAGCCTCAGCACCCCGGCCCGCTACGAGGGCACCTGGAGCAACGGGCTGCAGGACGGCTACGGCGTGGAGACCTACGGGGACGGAGGTGAGCGGCCCGCGCGGGAAGGGAGCAGCGGGGCGCGTGCGGGGCTCCGTGCAACACGAACTGCATGTGTGTGCGCACACGTGTGTCGCTGCCACCTGGGCGCGCCCCCGCGCTGGCTCTCGCATGAGTTGCACCCCTGCACGAGAGCCGGGGACCGTCTCGCTCCTTTCAGGCAGGGGAAGAAGGAGTTTCAACTCTTGGCAAAGTTTTTTTTTTTTTTTAATCTTTTGTGTATCGACTCTGTGCACGCGAGCAGGGCCCCATTGTAACCACGGGAGCGGTGCGTCTTTGGCAAGGGGCAGGTGCTGAGCCTGGGGGCACATTCCCATGGTCAGGAGTTGAAATTTGCAGCCAACTGACGCAGGGTTCTGTGAGTAAGGCCTCGATCCTAGAGCTGGACTGCTAGTATTAATGCGGAAAGAAGAAAGGTTCGTAAAGAAAACTACCATTGCTTTACACTCCTAAAGGCAATGAACGCACAGTGTAGGTTATAGTGTTGCAGGGTGACCTAGGATTAATATTAATTATCCTGTTAGAAACGCTGCATTTGAGTAATAGCAGCAGAAGCTCGTGAGCTGTTTCAAGGTTTCACTTTTAAAAGTCCATATTCCCAGGGCTATCGCTTTTCCTTCACCATCTGGTCGAAATGTTTGCTGATTCCTAAACTTTAGACGTGAATTGTAATTGCTTGAAAACATTGATTTTATCCCTTATTGGTACTACTATTGGAGGATTCACAGGTAGTGTTATGTGGATTTAGCAACACTCACGTATTCTATCCCAGACAAACAAATCTCAATCACTGGCTTTTGAAAGTTTTAATAAATTCATGGGAAAGCAGAAAGCTAATGGTATCTAAATAGATTATATATTAGAAATAATTAAACTTGGCCCCACCTACATTGTTATAAAATTAGCTTATTTAATAAACGGAGAAATGTTGTAATGTAAACCTTGCAAGTGATTCTAAATACAAATCATATTTTGAAATAAATAGGCCAGCTGCTGTTCCTCTCCCTTACCATCCCTCTCCACCCACCTCTTTTGCCCCTCCCCCAAAAAGCCCAACCCTCCTAAAACTCTCCTATAAATATATTGGGATGACTTGAGTATGTCTTAGTGACTTCTGACATCATATTTAATGTATCAAAAGATATCAACCTGAGGTTCAGCAAGGTGACTCATGAGTATAACTTCCCCTGTTGCATAGTTTCATTTAATCATGTACATGTCATTTCAAGCACCAAAGAAAAGACAGGCCTGTTTCTGTTCTCACACTGTGTGCTGCTGTGGCTTTTGGAGTTACAGCTGTGTAAAATCAGTGTAACTGAGCGCAGTGACCTATGGAATTACTCTTGATCTATCCTGATGTAAGGGAAAAATGTGGCCTAACTTTCTAGAGCTGAAATTTTAAAAACATTTTATTTTAACCTTTAGCATACACATTTTGCAAGTTCAAATTTGTGTGAAAATGTGAGTGCAGTGCAAGAAGTGTAATTTAGCAAAACAATAGATAATGTGTAAAAATCTGCCTTCTTTGTGACTTAAAAACAAATTCTTGATTAAGGTCTCTTAAGTAATGCTATGTATCAGTTTCTACAAGAAGTTTGATTAGCAACTTGTGGTCAGTCCCAGAAGAGATGCCCCAAAGAATAAATACCCATGTGCCACGGGGGAGTAGAGCCCTACTTACAAAAGTTTTCTCATGCTCATAGTAATCTCCTGGGTCTGTGAAAGTTTTTATGCTTGGTCTCTGCCCAGAGGGTACGTACATATTTTTAATTATTTTTTTCATTTAAAACATCAGCATTTCCTTTCACTAAACTGTTGAATTTTTTTTCTCCATTTGGTGGATTAGAAGTTTTAAAAGGGCTACGGGCAAGTACAAATTGCTATTGCCTTATTTTTAAAATAAATTAGTGTGCTTGTTTTTGTTAGAAATAGATTTCTCAATAGTGAACACATATGAGTAATTGTGGGAATCCATCTTTTGTGTTTTCTCTCTCAATTAAGCAGATTGTAATTCAGAGATAAATTGGCTTTATTGATAGTTTGGAAGTCAGGGTAGTGTGGATTTTTATAAAGCTACTATCTTAAGAATTTTTGTTCAATTAATGTAAATCTACCACTAAGGCCAGAATTGTGCAAACATAATAGTGTATTTGAGCATGTGTATTTCCATTGATTTTTAATGGGGCTACTGATGGGAATTAGGTGTCTGTGGTCAGGGCCTTAGTTTTGAGGCACCGCAAACAATACGGCAGTAAATGAGAAACTGCAGTATTTTTACCTGTTTGAAAACTATCTGGATTGTTAGTACAAACAGACTGAGTATATTTAAAAGTCCTTAGAGTTGTAGATTGAAATGTTTGCATTACAGGCCATTGTGCTTTTCTGGAGAACACTAGAATAATGATATAACTTTGTGCTGATAATTAAAGTTTAGGAAGTTAAAAATCTACACACACATAGTTTCCACAATATTTTGCCTTTAAAGTGTGTTGGTCTGGGAGAGATGTATTTAGGAATAAAAATACTGGCAACATGCAAACTTCTGTCGTCTGAATAAAAAATTTCCTTTGATTTGCATCTGCAAAACCAGAGTGATACAGTCCACTGTATGGATTTGCTTTTTAAACTAGAATTTAACTGAATCCCCATGGAAAAGGTAATGTATTTAGATCTTGATGAGAGGTAGGTAAACTTTTTAGACCAATAGTTATTTGCTGACAAATACAGTCTGGGGGTAATCCAAAACTATTGGTATATTGAATTCAACTGTTTCTCTGTGTGGCCCAGTAGTAGCTAGTTTTAGAGGAGCACATACAGTTTTACAATCACTTGGTATCTATCTGTGGCACAAATTAGAGCTATCAGTTATAGTTAAAATGAACATGAAAATAGGCATGTTGTTGCTTACAGGATTGAGTGTACATAGCACATTAGATGTTCTTGGTACAGTATATCATTATATCACACTTGTTGAGTATAATCATAGCCTTTAATAACTTCTTAAATTTTCACTTTGGAAGTAATATACACAACTATAATTTTATGTAACACTATTGTTTCCATATTTATAATAATGTATGCTTTTAGCGTACAATTCAAAGGGAACATTTTGACTATAACTAGAAAATTTAACGCAAGAGTGGGTACTTTTCTGCATGATACTGTCTAGTAGTAATAGAGGGAAACCCTTCTGTTTATTGCACAGTTACAACCAAATATCTGAGGAGTTGGGAATGGCTGCACAGTAAAACTACACAAAATATTCAGATGAAATCTCCATGGTAGGCTGTTTTTATTTGTTTGAGTTATAGAATATTCCACTTACTCATTAACTATTTTTTCTTTTCATTTTTTTAATAAGAATCTTGCCTTGATTTCATTATCCTAGTAGAAAGGGGAGTCTGATAAACACATACAAGTAAATTAATTGTCCTGGTTTAATGTTCTCCAGGGCAAATCATAAACATTTCCATTTTCCCCTACAAAGAAGTGAAAAACCTGTGCCATAATTGGGTTATATATATTTGATCTTCTGTATTTGTTTTTTAAAACAAAAATATTTTCTGATCAAGACAAATTGCAGACCTTCCTAAGCTTTGATATTTACGATAACTAGTTAAGAAGGACCTTCCCAGATTTCTGTTTTCAGTTCATGCAGTTTATTCAGAAGGCCATATACTGGCACGAAGAAATGTAATGAGCTCTGTCCATGAGACTCATTGCAATGTTTTAAATTTAAATAGTGAACCTGATTAAGATGTACAGCAGTAGTGTCTATAATGCTGTAGTGGCTACTGCTTCAGAGCTGGTTGGATACCATGGATCTACACTGTTCTGGAAGTGTAAAGAGGTCAAAATGTTGGGAGGTCAACATGATGCAATGCAATGTTTCTGAAAGTGTACCACGGAAACACTTTAACTGGCTGCCACTTCCCGTGGCTCCCCTTAGCTGCAAAGGACGAAACTGAGCCAATGGCAGCCACGAGGCTCCGAGGCTGTGGCACCGGTACATAAACAAACCGGGGCAGCCAGTTAAAGTTGTTTCTGAAAGTGTTTCCGCTGTACACTTTCAGAAACACGGGTGTAATGGGCCCTACTCTAAATGAGTCAAGTGTATTTATTACTTGCATAACAAATTAGACAGTTGATATATGAAACAACAAAACATCTGTAGCCATATTCTCATCTCAGGTGTACCTTTAGAACCCTTTATAATCACACGGATGTAAATAGGGGCAAAATGTAGTTCTAGATACAATTCAACTGATAGAATATTCATATATTTATTTCCAGGAAAAATATTTATTACAGTAACAAGTGTCAAGAAAAAGACTGCACTTTGAAAACTATTTACAGATCACATCCTTGTATTATGCTCATGTTTTTTATTTACCCTGCTCCGTATGTTAAGTATTTCTAAATAACCATGTTTCTAGATTCAGCAGCCTTAAAAACCAATGCTTCATAGCAGGTATCTAGGATACAGAGAAGGAGAGAGAATCTAAGAAATTTGCTTACTGTTGATGTCAGCAGCCATCTGTTATAAAGGAAAACCTTCCACATACTAAAATATTTTAACACTAAATAGTTACATTGTTGAGCTTATTTAACATTTATATGAAATACATAGTAGTTAAAAAATCTGGAACAAAACTTATAAACTGATGATTTTAAATTAGCTCATTCAGACAGGTATGATAAGAGGTAAATGGTAGAAATGTATATTGATGAGCTATTAGATGCATAACCAAACTAGATAATGTACATAAAACTGAGAATTAATTTCAAACAATTAGTCAAATTAAGCTTTCAGACAAGTGATGTTAAAATTTGAGGTACATGACAAATGCAGACAATTACAGGAAATCATGGACTTCCATATGTCAAATATAGCTCTCTAAAAAGCAATTTAATGTGTGAAACAGCTAACAGTAAAACCAAACAAGTAAATTTTAGAAGTTGTTTATTAGTACTTTTTAAAGAACGTCCAGAGTTATGTTTGTTAGTGCTTTGGTTAGTGGGTGGAGACTAAAAGGGGAGAGGCAACAGTACCTTATGTTTCAAGGTTTTATATCCATTTCTAATTGCACTGATTAGGACAAGAACTTCTTGGGGTCAAATCTGCTTATTGTGGAGTTTCTTGCATCTTCCTTTAATACATCCGGTATTGGCTGTTGTCAGATGCAGGATATTGAACTAGGTGAACCATTGGTCTGACTCAATCTGGAAGTTCATATGTTCAGGCAATAACCTGAATTCATCTTTTTAACCACAGACAATATAACTTCAATCACATAGGTATCTATGACCACCACTTTTCAAATGTTATCCAACTCCTTCTTCTGTTTCCATTTTAAAAAATCAGAGTGGTTTTGTCTGTTTTTTTCCTCTTACTATGTTTGAGTTACAGATTGTGACAAAATATATTCAGGTATAGCTAAAATGGTATCCTTTAATTCTCTGCTATTTTGCCACTAGACTATTTAACTACATACTGCTTTACGAATGAGAGGTAACTTGACATTATTTTCATATTCAGGTGAATAGTGAGAGAAATGACGTTTCTGCCTTAGTTCTGATATTTGCATCACAAATTTAATAACACAATAATTTAATAAAATGTGACAACAAAATCAGTCTAGGGATGTAATAGTATAGTCAATTAACCGAAAGCAAAAGTGTATAGGTTAATGCTATAGACTTCATGTATTTCCCTCTTCCTCTCTCCTGGCCAATCAGTTTTTTAGCAGGCTGGCCAGCACTGAATTTCAAGTGTATTAAGAGCCAGGCAGGCAGACAGCCTAGCTCAGTTCTGGCTTGCGCTGGGTCTGGGAGCTCAAACTGCTGTCACTCCATGCTGCTGCCTCTTTCTCAGAAGCAGCAGCACAGGGCGCAGGTCTGTGAGGGGAGCTGCTTTCTAAACTGGCTCCCCTCACAGACCAGCTTCCACCTGGCACCCTACACTGCTGCCTCTGATATAGTGGCTGCCAGCCCCGCTCCTGGAGAGTGTAGAATAGTCGACTAATCAATAATGTTTCATGAGGTTACTTGACTGTTCAATAACTGATATTTAACATCCCTGTATCAGTCATCATTGTTCTACATTTTATTATGACTGTTAGAGAACTTGAACACACTATCTTTGTATCTGAACTCTTTTTTTCATAAGCAGGTCTCCACTGATTTCACTGTGACTTTTGTTTATGGTCAGACTGCAGGAAAAAGATGTATACTATTTTCCTCGGTCTGTTGTGGATGTCTTTTAATGCAGCATTTCTGTTGCTACAAATAGAATAAAGGTCTGAAACAAAATACAACCTACAGGGAAGTTACTGATTTTATAAACACAGCTATTCATTATAACAAAATATATGTTAGCAGCAAGAAAAATAATACCAACATTTCACAAGGAGTCAGAAGAGGCAAAGGTGATATACTAAGGTTTCATTCCTGGAATCTCAACAAAATTAGATTTTTTTCCCCTGTAGAAATATATTTTAAACAAGTGTGCAATGAGTCATTGTGTAATAAAACTTATTTAAATTTAAAAAAAAATATTCTGGACACTATTGGATTTTTAGCTATCTGGGTACCGGGATTCATTTGAAAAGTTTTTATTAACCAGCAGAAGAATCGTTTTTTAAAAGTTAGACAAATATTTTCTATTCCAGGATTCCTTTTATCATGTAACATGTGTTGACTTTTCTGATGAAATTTTGCCAAAAATATGTCTGGTAAAATAGTGGACAGTAGGTATACTATTGTAGTGATGGCATCAGTTCCTCTCTAATTGAATTGCTTCTTAAATTTTGTTTCCATTGGTTATTCTTTCAAAAGGTACATACCAGGGACAATGGACAGGAGGGATGCGGCACGGATATGGTGTACGTCAAAGTGTACCTTATGGCATGGCAACTGTGATCCGTTCACCCCTCCGAACATCTCTCTCCTCACTCCGTAGTGAGCAGAGCAATGGCACTGTTCTGCATGACATTGCTTCAGACAGCCCAGCTGGAACAAGAGGTGGATTTGTTTTGAATTTCCACAGTGAACCAGAAGCCATAAGTAGTAAGAAAAGAGGAGGCTTGTTCAGAAGAGGATCCCTTCTTGGTAGTATAAAACTTAGAAAATCTGAATCTAAATCATCAATATCTAGCAAACGTAGCTCTGTCAGGAGTGATGCTGCTATGAGCAGAATTAGTTCTAGTGATGCCAACTCTACAATTAGTTTTGGAGATGGAGACTGTGATTATTGCCCAATGGAAGACCATGTTGATGCCACCACAACAGAAACATACATGGGAGAGTGGAAGAATGACAAGCGCAATGGTTTTGGTATTAGTGAGCGTTCAAATGGTATGAAATATGAAGGAGAATGGCTAAATAATAAAAGGCATGGATATGGATGCACGATATTTCCAGATGGCACAAAGGAAGAGGGAAAATATAAGAACAATCTTTTAGTTCGTGGAATAAGAAAGCAACTTATACCATTAAGAAACACCAAAACTAAAGAAAAGGTGGATAGAGCAATAGAGGGTGCACAAAGGGCAGCTGCTATGGCAAGAACCAAAGTGGAAATTGCATCTTCAAGGTATGTAATTGAAAAATGTATATTTTTGCCATTTCACAAATAGCAACAAAAATGGATGGTTTACAGTAAACTATATTGACAGAGACTCTTAAAAATTTGAGTAGAGAATTGTTTGTCTTCAATGGGCAATATTCAGCTTTGTATCATATTTGAATCTTGAGTGACTCAAATGAAGTTATATATGTGAACTTGAGAGTAGAATTTGTCCTCATAACTTGAGACAAATATTACTTGCACACTTCATACTACACTTTTGCTTGGTGATTTATTTGGAAACCTGCAGTAAGGAAGAACAAAATTTAAGACCTTGGTTTTGACATATAACACCGTGAAGAGGAGATTCTCACAAAAGAGCTTGGGTGCCTAATTGGCAAGTAAGTTGCTTTAATCCCAGAACCATACCCCACTTGGGTTCACAGAACCCCTGACAAGCTGCCTCTGAACCCCGTAGACACTTAAAATATCCCAGCTCCTATATTTTTTCAATAATACTCCCTAAATGTCTGTAGACCTCTAATTATGCATGCTGAATGCAGCCTTATGCCAGGCATCTGGATGCCTGAGTTCCAGAAAATGAGTGAACCAGGGGGAGGACAGGTTTTCCATTGCCTAACTTCCCTGCAAAGTTTGATCTGGTAAGCATGCTCTGAGCTCATCTACCAGATTGGGTCTTTCTGGGGAAGCTTACACAAAATGCCAGAGTGAGGAGTAGCAGCTCCTTCATAACTTTCATGCAAGTGGTTAGAGAACTCATCTGGAATGCAGAAGAATCCCACTTCAAGATTCTCTTCCACCTGAAGGGGAGATCTGAGAACTCCTAAGTGCATGTTCTAATCATTGGGCTACAGTGGGGGTGGGCAAAAGAGCACTTAGAAGTGCCCTGCGCACCTGGCAGGGCGGGAGGAGGCTTTGCATGCTCCCCTGCCCCCAGGCCAATCAGGGTCTGGGGGGGTGAGGGGAGTGCGCGAAGTTTCCTCTGCCCTTCCCCCATCCTACGACGAGGGCGGGAGGAGGCTTCACGTGCTCTCCCCACCCACCCAGGCCCTGATTGGCCTGGGGGTGGGGGAGCATGGGAAGTTTCTTCCCACCACCGGGGGCATGGGTGCGTAGTGGGAGGGGGAGCGAAGGGGCTCTCCCACCCCCAGACCAATCATGGTCTGTGGGTGGGGAAGCCTGGCCCCACCCCTTCCATTTGAGGCCCTGGCAAAAAGTATTGCCCACCAATGGGCTACAGGATAATCTGAGGTAGAACTCCCTCAGTCTTTCCTGTTGAAGCTGTTCCACGGTAGATAAATCATTTCCAAAAGTCATTGAAGTAGGGACTGGATCCTGTATCTTCCACCTCCCAGGTGAGTGCTCTAACCAGCAGGCTGGAGAGTCATTCTCATCCTTGTTTGCACTGTCTTTCTGGCCAAGTGATTTTCTTTTATATTTATCCACAGTAGAGCAACTTCAACAGAAGAGACCGAAGGAACCCTCACATCAGAATATCCCATAGCTTTAGTGGTTAAGGCACTCACTTGAGAAGTGGGCAATCACTGTTTAAATCCCGTCTTCCCCTCACGCGGTGGGGAGATTTGCCCCCTGGATATCTCACATTGTAGGTGAGTATTGTAATCTCTGGGCTAAAATGTACAACAGAGGTTCTCCTCATGCACACCCTAGATTCTTGCTAAAACAGCATAGGTGTCTAATGCCCAGAGAGGGTTTTCAGGTAAGAATCCCAAATAGAGGAAAGACCTTCCAGCAGTCCAGACTTGAATGCCTATCCTAAACAAAGGGGCAGGTCTTAGAGCGTACACCTTGGCTTGGTACTGCCCATTGGCTAGTTTATGTTTGTTTGTCATCAAGCATTCTGGCTTTTGTGAAATTTTCAGGCACGTATCTCTCTCCATTCATTGTATAGAGACCTACTCAGGCTTAGTAAATCCAAGTGATTTTCCAAGTACTAAATATACATAGTGATGCTGGGTGTCAACATATCTAAGTTTCTTTGTGAATCAAGACCTACCTACTTATCTCTGAGAGATCTTCTTGTTATTTATTTGAGCTGGAGTCTTTTAAGTCTTGATGAGGTTAGGGCCCCATTTGGCACAGAGTTTCCTGAGGGGACTCTTGGGTTTGGTACTTGCTTCCCTCACTGAATATGAAATACCCTGAATGTCATCAGATTTTGGTTATGTTGCCAACTTCATGGTGGTTTTTTTCTGTTCTGTTTTGTTGTTTTCGGTCCCGAGTGTTTGAAAATGGGAGAGAATTGTGCAGGTGGTTACAAGGGAAGGAGGAAGGTTTTAATTTTCTTGTTTTGTTGTTTGGAGGACTACCTGAGGTAAAATTGCTGCAATTTAAATTAAATTAATTATAAACCATTAATGATTATTTTTAAGTGTTTGTGAAGGGTGCTGAAAGCAATGCATCAACGATCTTTATTGTTATAAATGAAAATAAAGCTTTCTGGCAGCTTTCTTCATTTCAAATTGTTTTTCTTAGACTCTACTTGCAATTTACTGTTACCATAAAAACAGCTTTTTAAAAGAAATCTGAGAGGAAATATCGATAACCTTACAGTACTGATCCTGACTTTTGCTTGAATTGCACAGCCACTATTGCGTAGATTTAAAAAGTATATTCACTGTACATAAGTAATACTATTAAAAAACAATCTCAAGAGTGTCAAGCACATAGAATAAATTGCATATTTGGATGATTTATCCTGAAAAGCAATTGAGCAGCAAACCGATAAAGATGTTTATTGGACTACTAAAGAACCCTAAGGAACCTTTCAATAAGAAGTAAAATCTATTTGGTAAGACAGTTTGCACTCATGAGTGTTAGTATTTGGATTCTGCAAAGAAGTCAGGGAGGCCCTGGGCAGTATAATCATTTAGCAAAGAGTTGAAGCAATAACTAATTTTAAAACAGCATAAAAATCCGGAATAATTTAATTCATCAGAAGAATTAAAAGTATTTTCAGTAAAGAAATGCATCGTGCTATACACATTTTGTTGGTAGAATGGATCATAGTATATTATAAAGTTAAATTATAAATAAAAAAAAGATTTTTTTAACCAGTATAGTGCTTTCTAATCAGAAAAATATGTACATATTTTAAAGAACCTTTTACAGTTTGTAAATTATGTACATAAGGTCTTCAAAAGATGCAAATTAATAAAGACTTGATATGCAGAAAATTTCCATTTAAAGGAGATGGGAGTAAGGACCTGCCCCAACTATGACTACTGAAACTACTTGTAATACAGTATTGATTTCTGAACACCTCCTTCCTAAAAATGTAGACCTATAAGCAAGGTCCTCCCAAATTCACAGCCAAGAAAAATACATCATGGGCCATGAAATCTGGGCTCCCTGTGAAATCTGGCCTTTTGTGTGCTTTTACCTGTACTATACAGATTTCACAGTGTTGGTCAAATTGGGTGTCCTGATCCAAATGGGAATTGCAGGGAGCTTCAAAGTTATTTTAGAGGGAACCAGCCACAGAGGCAGCAGCACAGGGTGGCAGAGGGCGCCCGGGAGTGGGGTCAGGAGCACACTGGCTGCTGGCTCTGCCCCGGAGACTGTCAAGTAGTCGTGTAATTGCTAAGTTTTCGTGCAGTTACACAACTGTTCAGTTATGCAGCATCTAACATCCCTATTACTAATCCACACACGTTAAGATGTTTTTCTAAAAGATGTGCTCTAGTTTGAAACTAAATTCCTTCTGATAAGTTATATGGCTTTTGTTATACAGGTGGTCACAGGGGCGGATGAGAGTTTTTTGCAGGGCCCAGGGCAGCACAATTTCACGGGGCCCCCCTTTGGAGAAAAAATAGAAAAAAGGCATCCCCCCTGTGCCCACTCCTCCAGTAGCCCCACTCTGATCATGTGAGCTACCTCTCCTCATCCCCTCTCCTAATACCTCCCTCTACACACCTGCCCTGCCTCTCTCCTCTGGTGCTGGTCCTTCCCCTGCAGGTGTCTGCCCTTCTGCTTCACCCCCAGAATCCTCTGGCACCTTCTCTTACCCCTGCACCCTCCTGGTGCCTCCCCCTTCCCTCACTGCACCTGCACCCTTTGCCCTCTTTTTCTCTGATGCCCACCCCGTTCCCCTCATGCCTCTGTGCCCTCACACTTGCCTTGCTCCATCTCCACCTTCCTCATGCCCATCCCTGCTTTCAAGCCTTCTCCCAGCATCTCCCCCCTGCTTTAGCCCCAATGCCCTTACCCTCTCCACTCCCAGCATCATCCTGTCCCCCCTCCCACTGACACCTCCCCTCCTGCCCTTTTCCTCATTGTCTCCACTTGGCCCCCTGACATTTGTCTCTCCTCAGCGCTATCCCTTGGTGCCTTCCCCTTTCTTCTCCTGACCTGCCCCCCTCACCTCAGCATAAGCCCCTTCCTCTACCACCCACCTTCTGTCTTCCAGTTTGCAGGGCAGCCGCAACCCCGGCCCAGGCTCCAGACCATGTGTCGAACCGAGTGGTGCAATGCTGGGCCTCGCGGTTTTAAAGTCCTGGGTTCTGACGTCATGCCATGCCCAGGCATCTCCCCTCTCAGCTGTTGCGCGGCATTTCAGCACGCCGCGCATGCGCTCCCTCGGCTCCACATGGCCGTACTGGTCAGCTCCGGGGAATTTAAAGTGCGGGGCTGCGGCGCCCCGTCAGAATCCCTTCCTCCTCCAGCAGCTGCCAGCCGGCCCTTCGGTGGATGGCCCACTCGGAAATTCCTGGTATCCTGCTGGGCCAGTCCGCCCCTGGCGCTGGTGCGGGGCCTATTGAAGCGCAGGGCCCGGAGCAGCCGCCCCACTCACCCTGCTCTATATCTGCCACTGGGTGGTCAAGCCAGATCATCACAATAGTCCCTTCTGCCCTTATAACCAACAACTCTGAGTGAAGGTGCAGAATTACTGTTTTGTTTAGCACAGAGTCCCTACCTTTGTCACTGAGAACAATTCATTCATTTATTGTTTTCAAAACTGTTACGCTGGGGATAAATCTAGCCTC